GTGTGTGTAGAAGTGAATCATTTATTGCTTGCAAACCAATGATGGTAAGATGATGTCATGGGGTAGGACTGGATAAGTCTGACTTCTTCCTACTCCATTCAAACATGTATTAGGTATAAGCAAATTGATATTGGATTGTGTGTAAAAATGTGTGTTGTTATATCAACTGTTTTATATGCTTGAAAGAATAAATCAAATCAAAACTCTGACTGGCTGTTGATTTTGGGTGCATGAGCAATAATGACATCATCACAATAGCCCACGTGGAGAGATCCCACACCTTCAATGAAAAACTCTGAAAATCAAACACAAAAAAAAAACAATTCAGCCAAAACTTTACTCATAGTGTGCGGTCAAACATCCTTCCACAGAACTTTAATTCAATTTCTGGCAGAGAGCCAGATTTTTCCAAAGGTACCAGGCATGTCAAGCTTAATATTGGGACGATGCAACAAAATATAGAACTTGATTAAATAGTGCAGCCTTAAAAATATGTCATGGGTTTGATATATTTCATATACCGTAAGATATTTTAACAACCTTAAAGTGAAGGAAAAGGGTAAAACTGGATATTAAGGGGCTACATTATAATTAAATTATTCCAACATTTAGTTTATTACAGCATAGCACAGACTCTGGGGTACTGGCATGTGCTGATAAAAAGATTTCAACGTATGATTGCATCTTAGAATATCATATTATATACATAGCTAAAATGAGATAAGGATCTTTAAATCCAAATGTTGCTAAAGCACTTGTAAATTGTGGGTTGATGATTATGCAGTTGTGTCTGCCTTCCTGAAAAGTCTAACAATTTTTCATCAGTGCCTTTACTAAGTTTAATGTACTATGCACTAGTGTTATTTATCACTCTTTGTCTATTTTTGTGGACTAAAAAATCTGAAGTGTGCCCTGATTTCACTCCAGTGTACGTGACTTACTCTAACTGGGTTTCGTGCATACAGTAGGTACACATTGAACATGCTACAAAATGGAATACAGTCAAGCAGTTTTGATCATGATTTTGCTTAATTTTTGAATGTTTTTAATGGAAAACGTAAATTCACAAAAGATTTTGGGGAACCGCTAACAGAAGAAAAACTTACAACAAATGCATGTAATGGTTGTGTATCTGTGTTTACCTTTGTTGTGATTTGTTTTTAGCTGAATGTTTGTCTCCTGAAAACTGAGGCCATTGAAACCAGAGTCAAATTTCTTGTATGTGTACTGGGCCAGTGATTGCATTTTTTCTTAAGTTTTATCTGCAGTAGCTTTTAAAAATGCACCTGCACTGTTTGATTGATCTCCATTGTTTCATGTTTTATATTATTTATATCAATACAAAATACCAGTGCATGCTATATACAATCAGTATGTCTACTACTGCTAGTGTGGAACTGGGACACAGCTGGTGCTTTCATCTTAATGATGGTAATAAGGTAAATGCAAGAAATACGCTATAAATATGCTATTTGTGTATTTTACTGAACAACATAGGTCTTTATGTTTCATATGAAAATAATTCTGTCAGGTGCATTTCACCGTACTCAGCCGTGTAAACTACTCTGGTGAGATGTGGCTCAAAGCCGACCTGCTGGACTTTGTCTGTGTGAGCCAGGAAGAAGTTAACAACCGTGTCAGTGACAACACAGTTGGGGAAGCCTTGGATGATGTGATGAAATCCTGTCCTCATGTGTACACAGTAACTATTACCATCCCCTGGCTCAATGGAGATGGTCTTTCTGAAGGTGTTAGGCTTCCCTCCTGTCTCCAGCACTGCACCGCCAATCTGGGAATAAATACATGCTGATGTCAGTCACACCTCTGAAAAACATGGTTACAGTCACTGACAACAGCAGTTTATTCCTCTATCCCCTCACCCGATCCAGAGTGGTCCTCTGAAAAACGTTCACGAGTTTCTCCAGCTTTGTGTCGGCTGTGAAGAGGAAGTCATCATCCACCCACAGCAGATGCTTTGTGGTCACCTGGGAAATGGCCAGGTTTCATCCAGCAAACCAGCCCTATGAGTTATGACCCCGAGCTTGAATACCAAAGATCAACAACAGCAAGACTTCAATATATGTCAGCTGTGCTTCCTTACCTTTCCAAAAGGCATAATGTAATGTTTGATGTACAGCCCAGAGATGATTTGGGGATTTTCACTGTCATCAGCGATTACTATGGTGACAGTAGGATAGTATCTTCTGATGCTGTCACTAAGATCTTGAAGTTTATTATACTGCACGAAAGTCTTTGTAGCTATGGTAATGAGGGCACTGACACTGTAGTCTGGAGAGAAGGCAGATCAGACAACAGACAAAAGAAAGTTCACATTTTAAAATGCTATAAGTTTTGAAACTGTTCCAGTTTTTATAAAATGGAAGATTGTTTGACTTAGGATTTGGACACTAATGGCATGCTGGTGTTGTGTGTTGTCCTTTGGATCCTGTGTCGTACAGTTTCTGTGTAACACCATGGCAGAACTTGATAGTGAAGATGGCTTGATGCCCCGTGTCGTACAGTTTGTGTAACACCATGGCAGATCTTGATAGTGAAGATGGCTTGATGCCCCTCTGTCTTAAACTGCACTAAAAGACAGAAAATACTACTATTATTACCTTTGATTAGTGTTATTAGATCAAACTTTGGCTGATTCACCCCTGTCTGGTTTTAGAGTTGTTGATATACTGTTTGGAATGGGACATCTATGTACATACTGTATACTGAATCTCATGTACTGTTACGGCAAGCCACACACCAAAAGAGCAACTGGACTCAGTAATAGGCAGGACTCAAACTCAGGTCAGAGAAAGATATTTATTTGACAGAGTATGGAAATGAAAGGAGGTGGCGAGGATCAGACGCGGAGCTGCTGGCGTGGGTCTCAGGCGTTTGGGGCCGGTGAAATGACTGG